ATGGTGCCTGGCTACCAATGCCAACCACTCAGGAAAGTTTCAAATCTGGAGATCCTGGATAGAGTGGGAGGAAAAATGTGGAACAAAATTCACAAACTCAATAATGACCAGAATTACTGGTCAGATGAAATCTTATGAGACCCTCAATATTATAGCCCTGGAATACGTTCTGTGCCTAGAATAAAACACACCCCCAGGAGCTGGCTCTTAGCCCAATAGTTAACAAAACGTACACACAGACCACTCAATGCAAGATGACGCACCCACATACTCTGTGGTAATACATCCGTTAGAGCAGTAGACCACAGGGCACCAGAGGACCAACATTCAAATTGAGGAAATGCAGGACAAACAGGAGTGCATAAATATGCAGGGTACAGGGGGAGGGTTACAGGGTAAGGAGGGAACAGAATGAGACTGGGTTAGGGTTGGGAAAAAAAAATTTATATATATATATGCCAATGGATATCAGATTCTCCCAAATCAAATTATTATATAGACAAGAATAAGTGGGTAGAGAAATTGCCTGAAACCCTTCATGCCACACACCTCCTGCTTAAATAGAACTGAAATGTAGATTTCTCCCTCAATGACAACTTGAAGACAAAAGGAACAGGATCATTGATTCCTTCTTTCAAAATCCTTAGTGATCTACTTAAGTTTTGTTTTGAACAGTTTTCTTGTTTCACCTGTGTAGCCCTCCTCTTTCACTTTTTACCACAAATAAATGATTAACCACATACAAAGATATCAAAGTTGCTACTAGTTGCAGAGTACCTCAAACTGGCCAGTCCTCATACCACCTTCTCACTGCACCTCTAGGGTCATTCTGGATTTAACTGCCAAGTGGAGTCTTCTCCCAACTGAACACTCCTAGGCTTAATTAAATGGATTAACCCACTTTGACCATATATGCTGCCTTTAATTTCCATGGCATCCATCTGTCATCAGTGTTACCCAGGTCTGATTATAGAGTTTGGGAAGATTGTGACCAGGTGGTGTGAGAATCCAGACCTGACATGAGCATGCCCAGAGGGAGGAATACATAAAACAAATTAAGGACTTGATATTTTGTCCTGGGAAAATCTTATAAGATCATGCAGCCTACCTCAGAATTCTTATTTTCTTCCACCATAGGTCATGAGTGACACAGAATATGCAGAGTGGCTGAAGAATCACTTTTTAGCTGAAACCAGCATTGAAAACAGGGAAGAATTACTACTTGAATCTGCCATGAGGCTAGAGAACAAACTAACCTTACTTGGTAGGTATACTATTCACCAGTGCCTTTTTTTTTTTTTTTTAATTACTCTAATACATAGTTTTTCCTGCCCCTCCTATCTGATCTCTATCTAGCTTCCAGGACTTTCATTCTCTTTTCCACTGCAGTGAACTAGACTTCATTGGTGGTGGTGTCAGGGTGAAGATCATTTAATATGTCAATACTTAGCATAGGGTTCAAAGCCAAACACATATCCTGGTTCAAGAAAAGAAGTCTGAAGTTTTAGGTTAAGATACTTAACATACATTGGCATTGGTTAAGATACTTAACATGCATTGTCTTTTTAAATTTTCATAGCATATCTTTTAATGTAGGCCTAGTTGGGGTACAGAGTAGGTCAATGACTTGTTCAGTTGAAAGTCACATGCTAATAACTGAGACAGGTCTACCTGACTCCAGGGTCCATGCTCTTTATTTTGCACCTGTAGCTGGACTAAAAAAACAAACTCACTGCTCTCAAGTCGATTTCAACTCATAGCGACCCCTCCTTGGGTTTCTGAGGCAGTATCTTTATGGAAGTAGGTTGCCCAATCTTTCTTCCAACAAGTGATTGGTGAGTTTGAACCACCAGCCTTCTGGTTAGCAGTCATATGCTTTAGGCACTATGCCACCAGAGCTCTTATTTCTCTCTCATCTTTTGCTGATTTCAGGTAGAGTTGCACAAGTGACATTTCTTGTCTCAGCCGTTTTTGCACATTAGAATCATCTGCAGAGCTTTAAAACAACACTGATGACTGAATCCTGTTCCCAGAATTCTGAGTGACTTGGTGTGGGGCATGGCCTGGGCCTTGGACTTTTTAAAAGCTCCCCATGTACTTCTAAGGGTGCCCCTAGGTTGAACACCACTGCTTTAGAGTCAGAAAACATAGATTCTGACATAAGTACTTACACATCAAGACACCAGCCTCTGAGTTTATACCTGCATTTAGGAGAAAAACAATTGTCTAACTTAGTATCTAGAAAATAGTGTACAGTCGTCCCTCAAGTATCCATGGGGGATTGGTTCCAAGGCCCTTGAGAATACCAAAATCCACTAATGCTTAAATCCTTTATATAAAATGGGATGTAGTATTTGCATATAACCTACACACATTCTCTCACATACTTTAAATCATCTCTAGATTATTATAATACCTAACTGCCAAGGGGGCAAGGACGCCACATCTTCTGACCTCCTCTAACCCCATAAGAGGAAGACAGGATCACCATCAGGAGCCCAAGGCCTATACCTGTGAGGCCAAACATGCTGCCTCCCTCCAGCCCTTTCACCAGCCCTGACACCAGCTGTTCTCCCACAGCACCCACCACCTCTCTGGGTTCGATAATTTGCTGCAGTAGCCACAGAGAACTCACAGATTATGGGCTTTATTAGGGAAGCAACAGGCTACATTTGAAGTTCAGAAATATGCTCACTCTCTCTCAGCCCACTGTCTCTTAGCCAACAGTCTCTCACCGTCTCTCTCCCAGCAGTGCATGTCTCTTGTGTGTCTCTCTCAGTAATGCATGTCTCTCAGGAGCATATGTGTCTCAGCAGCATGTCTTTCTCAGCCAGCAGTCAGAGAGACTTCTTCTGCTTCTAGAAAGGCTCCTTTTTGAGCCTGGCACAGTGACGAAACTAACCAATCCCAGCTTCAGAATTCTGTACATCTGAGAGAGAGCTCAAACTTCCCAGAAAATTACTTGGTGCTACACTCAACAGAAATACCCCAGGTGGATAACTTTAACAATGAGGAGCTACTCAGTTGCTCATGGCAGATTCCACCTTGGAGTTTACAAAGACTTATGGCTGGAAAAGCCATACCGGCTTATTTATTACACCACACTAATACAATGTAAATGCTATGTAAATAACACTTTATGTTCCCTCTTATCTTTTGAAGGGTTGCTTTGATCACTTAATTACCGCCCCCCCACACAATGTTGTAGATCTACAATTGGTTGAATCCCTGGATCTAGAGGCCCAACTATAGTGATGTGTATTCCTAATAAATTTCTCTGTGATGCTGGAAGGAGTATAGGTTCACATTTCCTCATCTGCAATTCCAAAATCATAAATGTTTTTATGGGTTTAGTGCCAGACTCATTTGGCAGCAAAATCAAGCCTGATTTGGCATAAAACTATTTATAGTCTTTATTATTCTCCTTGGAGAAGCCCTGGTGACACAGTGGTTAAACACTCGGCTGCTAACCAAACATTTGTTAGCTCAAATCCATTAGCCACTCTATGGAAGAAAGATGTGCAGTTTGCGTCTGTAAAGATTTATAGACTTGGAAACCCTATGGGACTGTTCTACTCTCTCCTATGGGGTTATGAGATGGAATCTACTCCACAGTAGTGGGTTTGGTTTTTTGGGTTTTATCTTTCTCAGTGTGAACATTTGTCAGATTTGCTACAGAAATGTTAACATGCTTGGTTTATAGGTTTTATGATATGTGGTATATATGCTATATTACTTTTTTAAAATCTGAAAAGCTAGAATTCTGAAACACATGTGGCACATAGTGTTTTTGAAAGGGGAATTTGGATCTGTGTTATGAAAGAGTGTTGTAAATAGACATTATATCGTACTGGCAAGAGCATTCTTTAATAACTTCCCCTACCCTTGGGGTTAAAATCATAGAACTACATAATTTTAGAGCAAGATTACACAAATAACCGAATCAAACCCTTTCAATTTAAGAAAAGGATGCTACTTGAAAAGAAAACAAGTAAGTTTAATAAACTCATTGATTCCTGAGGCTCTTCAAAATTCACTTTATATATGATTTTGGTCTGAGTCTTGACATCTCTCTAGAATTTGTAGAAGCTGCTGGAGTAGTTTGTATTTCGCAGTTCCTTTGGCTAGAATAGGTATGAGTCAGTTATAGCCTAGCTGGGCTTTGATTCTTACTTAGAAGTCCTGTTGCACATTGGTTATATTATAGGTGCTACTGGCATTGAAGACCGCCTACAGGAGGGAGTCCCTGAGTCTATAGAAGCCCTTCAAAAAGCTGGCATCAAGATCTGGATGCTGACAGGTGACAAGCAGGAGACAGCTGTCAACATAGCTTATGCGTGCAAACTGCTGGAGCCTGATGACAAGCTTTTTATCCTCAATAGTCAAAGTAAAGTAAGTATAATGAGATAAAACCAGTCTTTCTGTTTTTTTGCAAAGCAAATGGACTAATTGGGACTTGATTTATGCAAAGGAAAAAAGAAAAAAAAAAAACAAAAAAAACCCAGTAACTGTTAGCTTCTTGGTAATTATTATTCTGTCCAGCAACTTAGTTTATGCTTGGGAAGATGCCATGCATAGTTCTTCTAAAGGCTTAGAAAAACTCATAATGATTCAGGGGAATCATTGCTGAAAAAAAAAAGCATTAATTTATTTTTATTTATTTGCATTTCTTCTTCCATGTTTACTCGCTTGGATTAGCAGGGTCTTGGCAAGACTTAGCCCATAATGACAAAATGCAACAAGTCTTGAGACAAAATCTACTTCCTTTTCATTTTAAGAGGCAGTGATGATTTCTATTGAAATCAGGTTAATTAATTTAGAATTATTTTTATTAATTCTAAAAATAGGCTCTCAGGATGATAATGCCCTCTAGTGGTAATTTGTAACTAGTGCTACTGAGAATACCAAGTTTGTAGAGTTGTGTCTAAGAGAAGGCAGGGTAGATATATATGGATATACATGTACATATATACATACGTGTGTGCGTGCATGTGAGTATGCATGTCATATTTTAAGGAGAAGGGATTTTAGAAGGTCTGGACTTAGCCTTTTTTTTTTCCAATTTTGCCTTCCAGTAACTTTTACCAGACATCTAATCAGATAGACATCTCCTTTTTCTCAGACTATTCCTAATACAGTGATACCGACAAATATTTGTGGATGTTGTTTATTTTGCCTTCCTCGCTCCTTGCTCAGAAGTCAAATCTAGCCATGTTTCAGACCCCAGTAACATCCCTTCCAGCATGGAACCTGTCGCCTCCAAAATCCTCTGGAGCTTCACATCTGGACAATACCTTGGCATTTGTCCCAGGCTGCCATGTTTGGTTAGCCCTGTGTCTATGGTAGGCTTCAGCATCCCTGGGTAGTGCAGACAGTTAAGGACTTAGCTGTTAACTGAAAGGTTGGTGGCTTGAGTCCTCCTAGCGGCACTTGGAAGAAAGGCCTGATGATCTGTTGCTGAAAATTCAGCTATTGAGAACTCTATGGAGTGCAGGTCTACTCTGACACACAAGAGGTCATCTCTGAGTCAGAATTGTCATGAAGCCATCTGGTTTGGTTTTATGTGTGTTTTTCAATCTAAACAAGTAGGTTGTACACTGTGAGGAAAGGGTTTCACTTATTCACACAGAGTGAGCTCCCAAGCCATCTTTTATTTCTAACTACAAATTGGATTTAAATAAATGTAACTACTTACAAACTTCTCCCCCACCCCTGCAACAACAACAAAAAATTGGTGTTGAGTTGATTCCAACTCATAGCAACTCTAAGACAGAGTAGAAGTCTGTAGAACCCATAGAGTTTCCAAGACAGAGGCAGAGAGCCTCATCTTTCTCTTGAGGAATGGCTGGTGGGTTTGAACCACCTACGTTCCAGTTAGCAGCTGAGCACTTAACCACTGTGCAACTAGGGCTTATTTTATAAATCTTATGTAGTTAAAATTCTTTTTTTTTTTTACAAGTAATTCTTTTTATTTATTTATTTATTATTATTTTTGTAGTTAAAATTCATATAAAAGCTTGATTTCTTGCTTTGTTTTAATACAGTCATGTCCTCTATCATTTACTGTGATATATAAAAGCACTTCAGGATTTATCATTTAACTTTTTAAGCTTTATTTTCATAATTCCATTTAAATTTCTCCTTAGATTAAAAACTTTGCATTTATATTGTTTACTAGAGGCGCATAAGGCTTTCTCATACTTAATCTAATTTGACAGTTCTAACAAGTAGACTGTGGAGAGAAAATTATCCCGTTTTGTAGATTGAGAGCCTGAGATTCTAAAAAAGTTGTTATTTGTCTGAGAACTTGAAGCTGATTACACTTCAAGCATGGGTTAAACTTTAAATTTTGTGACTTCTATATCAGTATATTTTCTGTGTTGTATTAATTCTATAATGAAAATATAGTTAATTTATAAAAACTAGACACATGCATATACGAAGAAATAAGAGAATAAAAACATCTAAAAAGATAAAACCACAGATAATTTACATTCTTTTTTTTTTTTTTTTTAATTGTGATTTGGGTGAAAGTTTACAGAGCAAATTTGCTTTCCATATAGCAGTTCACATACACTTTGTCTCATGACATTGACTACAATTTCCCACAATGCAACAGCTCCCCTCCCACTTCCTCCCCATAGTTGCCTCATCCCTGTGTCCTTCCCTCCATGCACTCCTGCCCCTGAGCTGTCTCCCTGTGCATACGCAGCCCTTCTATTCTCCCATGATTGTTCTCTCCAAGGAGTGTATCTGCCTAGTGTAAAGTTTCACCTTATATGCCTATCTTTTGTTTGGCTGGAAGCCGCAGGTGTGGGTTCAATTCCAGACCTGATGGGCAGCTAGGGGCCATAGTCTCAGTGGTTCTATCAGGCTCTATCAGACCAGCAAACCTGGTGCCTTTTTTTATATTATTATTATTTTGAGTTTTGTTCCACATTGTTCTTCTCTATCCAGGATCTCCTGCATAGATCCCCCTCCGAGTGGTTGACAGTGATAGCCAGATACCATCTGGTTCTTCTGATCTCATAGCTTTATAGGCTGAGGATCACATGGTCTACCAGTCTCTTGGACTAATTGTTTCCATGAATCTTTGGTATTCTTCATTCTTCTTTGCGCTGGATGAGGAGAGACCCATCGTTGCATCTAGATGGCTGCTTGCAAGCTTTTAAGATCCCAGTCGCTACTCACCAAAGTAGGATGTGGAACAATGTTTAGATAATTTACATTTATATGTAAGAGGGTATCTACCCAGACTACATTTTGTGCACTATAGACGTGTGAACACTACAAAGACTGTATTTATAGTACTGTATTGTATAGTAATATATAGTATTGTAGCTGTATTTTCTAATTTTATAAAAATATATACTATACATTTTTAATATTATCTCCTGTAAACATTGTTGTTGGGTGCCATTGAGTCAATTTTGGCTCATAGTGACCCCATGTGATAGAGTAGAACTGTCCCATAGTGTTTTTATGGCTGTAATCTCTACAGGGGCAGATCATCAGATCTTTCTCCTGCAGAGCTGCTGGGTGGGTTTGAACCAGCAACCTTTCAATAGCAGCTGCGTGCTTAACAGACCACCAGGACATCTTTCTGTTGTAAACAGACAATTTGGTAGACAATTTTCAGTAACTGCAGAGCATTTTAATTTATAGACATACCATTTTAATATAACCAAACCCTGGTAGGTTTTTAAAAATAATTTTTTACTCTTATATATTGAGCCTGTAATGAGCACATTTGGTTCATCTTTGTCTGCCTTTCCTACAGGGTTTTTGAAGGGTTGTTGTTAGGTGCTGTGGAATCAGCTCCAACTCATGGCAACCTTATGCACAACAGAGTGAAACACTGCCTGGTCCTCTGCCAGCCTCACAATCCTTGCTATACCTGAGCCCCTCTTTGCAGCCACTGTGTCAGTCTATCACATTGAGGGCCTTCTCCCTTTTTGCTTACCTTCCACTTTAGCAAGCATGATGTTGTTGTTGTTATGTGCCATCGAGTTGGACCTGACTCATAGCAACCCCTCCTTGGGTTTCCGAGGCAGTATCACTACG